CCTCTCTCTCTCTCTCTCTCATGAGATGTCTTGGATCTCTTTCAGTATATTGATTAATGAACTTTGCAGCCATAGATTCGCATCCATTAAGAAAGTGCATGGGTGTGAACCCTGATGAAAAATGCATCTAAATATTGAATATCTAACCAATTAAACGCTAACCTTGAGATTAACGCAATATCACTCTTGAGCAGATGGATTAGGTTAACACAAGCATCTCGTCCGATATAAATGCTTGTGTTCACCTAATCCATCTGCTCATTATCTATTAACTAATTTACTGTTATTTTTAATAAAGTCCATGGCTTTAAGGATGCTTCATAAAAATAAATTCGGACCGGAAAATGGGAAAAGTTTAAAAATACGCTTCATGAAAAAACGTTACGAATGGAAACAGTATGAAAACAGTCCAATGGCCAAACTCTAAGATCGTAACATAAAACGTGTGTGTGTGTTTGTGTGTGTGTGCGTGTGCACGCTATTCTCCTAGTAGAGTATAAAGCTACACACTCATCACGCTAGGCGCTGCTTAAAAAGTAGCTATTAATAATAATAATAATAATAATAATGGACGTGGGTGTCCCCCAAGGCTCTATCCGGGGTTCTACGCTGTTTCTAATTTTCATCAATAATCTTCCTGATATCATCATTTCCCAAGTAGTCATTTAGGCAGATGATACTATTATTTACTCCTTTCTCAATAACAAATCCGTCAGGGATGACAATGTTAACCTGGCCGCTGCTCTTGAAAAGGACCTCCAATCAGTAGTTAACTGGGGCAGGAAATGGCTTATGAATTTTAATGCTCTCCTTTAACCACGATAATGAAACTTCCCTTCCCGCCATTATCATGGCTGATACTCGACTTCAGGAAAGCGTCTCACTGCGTCTTCTTGGCCCCTCACGTTTTCAACTGACTTGAAGTGGAACAACTACATGGAATCAATAGCTGCATCTATTGCAAGGAAAGCCAGAGTCCATCTTACACATCTACAAATTCACCATTCATCCGTGCATTAAATACTGTTACTATATCTGGTCTGGTGCCTCTGCAATTCATCTCGAAGTTCTTGACAAAATCCAAAGAAGGATCTGCAATATAATCGATCCTGACCTGACATCTCGACTTCAGTCACTTTCTCACCGACGTGACGTGGCTTCTCTCCGTTTTTTTCTACAACTATTTTCATGACAATTGCTCTAGGGAGCTTCCCCCCACCTGGAGTCTAGACTACATCAGTTTAAACGTGCTACTACCTTGGCATCTAGGGTCCCACCCTTTTACTGTTGAAATAGTTAAATGTAACTGCCACTTCTACTCCAACAGTTTCTTTTCTCACACTTCCCGACAGTAGATCTCCCTTCCGTTTCTTTACTTCCTTGAAAACTATAATCTTCAAAAAATTTAAATGCAACGTCAATCGCCATCTTCTATCTTCTTCAATCCCGTTCATCTTTTGTCCTTTCTTTAATCCTCCCTATATTCAGTCTCTTTTCTCACTTTCACTCCCTGAAACCCTCTGCGTACATTTCCCCGCCTTGCTTGCGGTGAAATGATTTAAAAAAATATTCTGTAATAAATATACAGAAACAACTGACCATCAGGTTTCACGGTTTTAGCATCCACTGAATATAATCTGCACTGGAAAATATGCAACTTTTACAGGAAAGGAAACTGCAAGAAACTTATATGAACACCACTGAGGACCGGTTACGGAGATAGGTCCTGTAACAATTTTATAGGACTTTACAATTCAGAAACAGAACAATCAAAGCTAATCGTCCAGGCATTGTGATCAGAGACCGCCAAAACAAAATGTGCCTCCTTATTGGCACGGCAGTTCCTGCAGATTGTTTTGTATGTTTGAAGGTCTTTAAAAATCTATTAAAATACAAAGACCTTAAAATAATCAAAATCTCAAAAAAGTATATGAAGACATGAACAACTTCAGTTGTAGTTATAGACCTCGGACTGATGAGAAAATATTCAAATAGACTATTTAAATGATTCCTGGTAGCCCAGGCCTGAAAGAAATACAAAACATTGTATTCACAACGACAGCCCACACTTTACGAAGGGCTTTATTTATGTAAAATGTGTCTGATCCTAGGTGTTTTTTTTTTTGTTTTGTTTTTTTCATTTTTCTTTTTTCCTAAAAAAATGCTCAGTAGAAAATGCCAAGATGCCATTTCTAACCTTAGGTCTATGATTGGACCCGAAAAAATGAAAATACTCCAGAAATCAAATCAAATCAAATAATAATAATAATAATAATAAACACTCCTTCCGGACTTTTGAACAGGAATACTTATTTGTCCCTGGTTTCCGGTTTAAGATTGGATTTCCGGTTCCTTCTAAAGTCTTCTCGTTCTGTTTCACTCCCACGTAGCCCCTTGTGTATTAGTTGCATTATCACCTTGCTTGGGATGAATTGATTAAAATAATAAAGACAATAATAATGTCTATTTTGGCGCACCAAACGATTAGCAAACTCGCGCCGTAGCTCGCCACAAATATAATGAATACAGTTATGAGTAATTTAAAAAAAAAATAGATTCACTCTGTATAAGGCCCAGGAGCCACTCGAAGTAGAGAATTACAGATTACGAAGCACAATTTAGGCAGATTTGTGGGGAAGATAACGTTTAACCCTAAATTTGAACAGGTTAAGTTTGTAGTGATTGGGAACAAAACCTTTTCGGGGTCGATTCCACAGAGCAGTGGTTCAAAGGAAGAAACTGCTTGAGTGGGACTCACATCTTACCAGTGGAATATGAAAGGAATGAGGGTGATTCGCTACAATGGGCGTGGCATAGCGCTACCTAGCTGTGAAGGATAGAACTGGTGGAACTAAAGAATATAGCTCGTCTGAACACTTTCCATGCAAATAGCGAGAGAGCAGTGAGACGCTTGCTACATCTCATCTGTGAAAGAGCGTGTGCAGAGTGGAAAATCATTTGTCACCCACAAATGAAGCAGAGACGCTTTTGTATTATATCGCTATTAGAAAGTGACGACTGGGTAACTCCTGCCCAAATATGACAGTATCTTAGGCCTGATCTGGCTCTTGTAAAGGCAGAGGGTAGCACGAGGTACAGGGAACCGATCCTTCTTCCTGCATCTTTGACGATGGCTCGTATATACGAGTTTCAATTGAGGTCTGGGCTTCGTTTAAGACTCAGTAGTTGCGAGGGAACATCCATTCATCCTGACTGATGGTACTTCGGAGTCAGATCAGCGATGATGGAATGTAACTAGTCTGTTCTTCGATGCATGGAATATAACCAGCCAGTTGAAATGTTAGAGCTTAGATCGGAGATCAGCTGTCTATCTCTCTGGTCATCACGAGTTTTGGGGTGCACCCATATATCGTTGTATCATCGGCATAGATATTCATAAACGATAGTATACTCTTAGGTAGAATCATTTATGTAAAGTAAAAAAAAAAAAGTGCTTCAGAATTGAGCCATTGTACCTTTCAAAGGTAAACGAAATAGATATTAATTATGTAGATAGAGATGTAATTTACGTAAAGCAGTAATTGAAATCTGTTTTTATTTATTAGAAGTGAAAAATACCGGGTGTAACAGCAAAATTGTCCAAATCGTGTAACAGCAAAATTGTCCAATTGTTAGATTAAATTTTGAACCGTTATATGTTAGAAATGATTAAAGATATCTTACTGGAATTCTCCGAGGTTTTTATAACACGATCAGACTCTTCTTTGAGCAATATGAATGTATTTAGATCTAAGTTGAAATGATGACCCCTCATTCTGCTGGGACCTCCTGATCCAGTTATCCTCTCTATCGTTCGCTCTTTTTTAAACTTAAACTCTTGATGGTTCTTGAATAGACTTTGAAGATGGAATCCAGAGTATGAATGTTGGTACCATTACTGAAGGCTTGAATGATCTTTTTCCTCTTACCATTGCTCAGTTGGGAAGACATAGTGTAGCTGACACAAAACGATTTTAATCTGTTCTCTTTCTAGCTGAATAAGTCAAAGGGCTTTTCAGTGATTCTGGCGACACATGGTGTCAAGATAACTAAACGACTTCTCTGAAAACCTTAACATGTAGCCATTATACTGTTAAGAATTTGGACAATTTTGCTGTTACACACGGCAATTTAAAGTAACAATAGTCTCAACCCCTTGGTTCCTATTGATTCATTTTTTTTTTTACAACTGGACGTTGCTTAACTCCGGTGATTGTACTGGAATCGGTGTTTCAACGTGATATGTCAGTAAACCCTTCATACCACCAGGGTAGCCATGTTTACGGCACCTGTTATTCTCAAGATGTCAACCATCTAGGTGCTAACCAGGCACGACGTTGCTTAACTTAAATGATCGTACAGGATCCGATGTTTCAACGTGATGTGGATGTAAGCCCTTTATACCAGTCGCCCATACAAGCTTAAAGCCCCTGGTATTCCCAAACTGACTAGGCTTGACGTTGCTTAACTTCGGTGTTTCAACGTGATGTGGCCGAAGCCTCTCTAGGATAGCGATAGTAATTTATTAAGCATAGAGTAATTTCCAATAAGGCCACAGATATAGGGTACACAGTGAGGATCGATCTCACTGCTCAGTAGTATAGCCGACCAGAGTAGCATGTTAAACCACCTGATAGGTCAAGACTTTAGTTTAGGTACAAAGTCACATATCTGGAGCACCTAGTGAGGATCGAACTCCTTACTCAGTAGAAATAGTCAACCACAGAGCCTCCGTAACCATTAAGTAACACCGAGACACCCAAACCTTAGTTTTAGTTCAAGGTCTCAAATATGGGGCACTCGGTGAGAATCGAACTCGGTAATACTGATTTGCAAAGGCAGATTGTTAATCGTTACACGATGATGAGTTATGACAACCAATTTAAACAAGCACGTTATCTAGCTTATGTTCTGTTTTCTTCTCTCCCTCTTGCCTTCAATATGCCGTGTAAGTGTCAAATTTTCCAAGCCCTCTTTCCTCATTATATGCCCCAGAAATTTCAACCCCCCCTTTCATAATGTGTTTAGAAATTTCAACTCTCTTTCTGATTTAAATATAAGTGTCCATTTTGCTTCCATTTCCTCTAAAACTTTGTCGTTGCTCCCATGTTCGGTCCATGATATTTTCAGCATCCTTCTGTAGAACCACGTTTCTGTTGCTTCAAGTCTCTTCTTCATCTCTGAGGTGATTGTCCAGCATTTGCTGCCATATAGCAGGACTGATATTACATAACAGTTCAGTCCCCTTTTCTTCGTTTCTAACAGAATTTTCCTTTTTCTTAATACATTGCTTAGCCTTTGGAAGGCATCTTTCACAATCCCAATGCAACTTCTGATTGGTGTTGCATTTTCCGTCCTCTGTTAAAACGTTTCCTAAATAGTTAAATTTTTGTGCTTCCTTGATAGTTAAATTTTTCTATCATCAATTTATAAAACTCAGGTGCATTATGTCGGTACTGTAAATAATATGCCCTCCACCTGGTACCCTGGACGTTTATGGACATATCACGGTGAAACGCCGATATCGTATGATCACAGAAGTTAAGCAACCTCAAGCCTGGTCAATACCTAGATGGGTGACCGGTTAAAAAAAAGAGAGTTGAATTTTTTAGGAACATGATGAAGAAAGAGGGCTTGGTCATTACCCGGATGTTTGATATCTTGGTAAGCTGGGATGTGCAGTTGCTATAATGAACAGTGGCAATTAGACTTGGGAAAGGTATGAATCCTTCCCCCAACTATGGGTTAATTAGTAAGACTTCTATCACTAAAGAATATTATCCACCTCCACCAAATATTTATATTTTTCGGCATTAAATAATCCATAGAGGTTGATCAATATGCTGCTAAATAAAAACAACTAACCATAGCCTGGACACCCGAAATCGTACTAGGTAATTGATCAGGAGATCCTTATTGTAAACATAAAAAATTGTTAATTAAAAAACAGACGAATAATTTGGATTAACACCATGTTTGAAACGTGAAGCTCATTATTAATTCAAATTTCAGCTGTGGTTTAAGTAGTAGGACTTGTATGTGGAAAAATCATTGTTATTCTTAAAAATGTTTCAATGTAATAGTCACAAAATAAAAAGGATTCCATGTTTCAGTCAAAGTAATATCGACACTTCAAAGAAATTTGGGCAAAATACGACCAATCGCTTGCTAGTATTTAATTTTATGCATTTATTTTTTGCTGTTGTTCTTTTTTTATTTTTCCATTCTTTCTATCATTTTTAGCTCAGTTTTTCTTTTGTTTTTTTCTCATTCAATCATTTGTTCTTTCTTTCTTTCTTTCTTTCTTTCTTTCTTTTTTTCTTTCTTGTTTTCTTCTTTCTTAGTTCTGGGTATGACGATAAAGGCCTCAGATCGGGAGAGCGGAGGTTTTGAATAGCGTAGAACCACCTTTTAATTGCTTTTGTTCCCGGCCCCACCCTGACCCGTAAGGTCCCTGCTATAGGAAAATAGTTAAACCCTAAACAAAATCAAAACATTAGGAAAGTATAAAAATACATTTTATAGTAGAAATACCACGAATACATTCTTATACAAAAAAAGAAAAAAACACCAACGATACCTAATTATAGTAAATTTGCGATACTAACAAATTGTAGCGGATTCACCCAAATCTTTTGTTTTTTTCTCATTCAGTCGTTTGTTCTTTTATTTTTCTTTCTTTCGTTTTATTCTATCGTTTGTGCCTTTGTTCTTTCTGTCTATCGTCTGCTTGTTCTTTCTTTCTATATTTCGTTTATTCTTTTCTTCTAATCTTTCTTTCAATCTTTCTTACTTTTGTTCATTCTTTCTAACTATCGTTCGTGCGTCATTTCTATTATTCGTTCTTGCATTCTTTCTTTCTTTTCTCTTTATTTCAATTGTCCATTTTTTTTTCTTTATTTTTTTCTCTCTTTTAGTCGTTTCTTCTTGCAATCGTTCATTCTTTCTTTCTTTCAATGGCTCATTCTTTCTTTCTTTCAAATCGTTCTTTGCTTGTTTATTCTATCTCCTGTCCTATTCTTTCTGTATTTCTATCGTTCTTTCAAAGTTTGGGTTCAGTCGTTACTTCTATCGTTCTTTTTTTTAATCGATATAACTCCATGTAAGGCAACAAAGTCACTAAGACACAAGGGGGTTACTGGGTGTGGAAGAATTATGAACAGAAACATTAATAATGAGAGAAAAGAGAAAAGAGTAACCAGGAGGTTAGTGATTGACATTGCAATTAAATTTTTGAAGATTAAATATGACTGAAAAGCATGGAGCCGGAAAAGAGTTCCACAAGTGAGAAGTGCCAGAAAAGAAACCGCTAACATAGAACTTGCGGCTAAATCTAGCCATCTCAACTGTAAATTAACGAGATCTCAACACCAGTCTAGTACTGAGCTTAAATTCATAAAGTCTAGGTACCATAGCGAAGAGCTCATCCGAACAATTACTATGAAAGTACTTATAGAAAAGACACAAGGAGGCAATCTTACGCCGGTGGGAAAGTGACTGGAGGCGAGATGCCAGATCAGGACCAATAATATTGTTGATTCTTCTAAGGATTTTATCAAAGATCTCAAGGTAAATAACAGGGGCACCGGACCATATGTAGATATGTAAGATAGATTCTAGAAGGAAATATTGTCTCTCCCGACACAGTGAACTTTCTTAGCAGCTGACCTAGCAATAGATTCATTATAATCTTTCCCTTTAATGTCAGCTGAGAGCGTTAGCCCGAGAACGCGTAACGAGTCAATTTCCTGGAGGTTAGCATCAGCCATACTGTTTAGGTTTGGGGGAGTTAAAATCGACAAACCATGTTTTGCCCCAGCTAACAACGGAAATGGGGTTGTTTTGGACACTGGCTGCCATTTTGAATTTATTGGACTGATCAGCTTTACTATTGGGGCAGGAGTAAATTGTTATGTCATCAGCGTTGATACCAAGTTGAGAGTTGATGTTATCTGGAAGGTCATTAATGAAAATTAAAAATAGGGTAGGACCATGGATGGAGTTTTGGGAAACACCCGCGTTAGTATGAAAGGATCTAGACGAATGGCCGTTCAGGATAACCTTCATTTCACGATTTGATAGGAAGACTGGGTCAGTTAAAAAATGTGTCCGGAGACACCGTAACTTTTCAGCTTGTGCAGAAGGCCTATATGCCAAACCCTGTCAAAGGCTTTCGAGATATCCACTGCTTTACCGTTTTTATCTAGAGCATGAGAGTTTCTTTCCGCAGTTATCGTCATTACATCAGTAGTTGACCTGTTCTTTCACTCTTTCATAAAATCGTTTTCTTTCTTTTTCTTTCTTTCTTTCTTTCTTTCTTTCTTGCTTGCTTTCATAAAATCGTTCTTTCTTTCTTTCTTCTTTCATAAAATCGTTTTTCTTTCTTTCTTTCATTCATAAAATCGTTCTTTCTTTCTTTCTTTCTTTCTTTCTTTCTTGCTTTCATAAAATCGTTCTTTCTTTCTTTCTTCTTTCATAAAATCGTTCTTTTTTCTTTCATAAAATCGTTTTTCTTTCTTTCTTTCATTCATAAAATCGTTCTTTCTTTCTTTCTTTCTTTCTTTCTTTCTTTCATGAAATCGTTTTCTTTCTTTCTTTCTTTCTTTCATAAAATCGTTCTTTCTTTCTTTCTTTCTTTCATGAAATCGTTTTCTTTCTTTCTTTCTTTCATAAAATCGTTCTTTTTTCATGCTTTCTTTCTTTCATAAAATCGTTCTTTCTTTCATTCTTTATTTCATAAAATCATTCTTTCTTTCTTTCTTTCTTTCTTTCTTCTCGTCATTCATACGTTCTTTCTCTATTTCGTTTATGCTTTCTTTCTAGCGTCCGTTCTTTCGTCTGATAGTTAACCGGCTTCCTTTCCTCTCACTTTATTTCTTTCATTCTCAGTTACTAATCTGTGTGCAAGCTCTAATAAGATTTTAAATGCTGATTTTCAAGGCAGTCCATCCCTTCCAACGACAGATGATGGTCATCTCTCAAGTATTTACAGGACCACTTATTTCCCAGGCAGTTGTTGAATAGTCACAGGGAAAAATTAGGGAATTGGAGATTACACAAATAAGAGCCAAACTGTACAGTCACGTGAGGTTCTCGCGAGAATCCTTTCGGTCAGCCGATCCATGCTATGGATGTCGCCCACCACGCGCGATTATTCAATATCGGGACTTTCCTCTTCGCCAAGCTCCCTAATCTCGTAATATTCTTTGCTATATATATCTAATCACCGGATGTTCCCACTTGCCCAGTTGTGTAATCTTGAGTCGTCCTTCTCTAGCAGCCGATCCGGCCCTCTGGATGGTCCACTCCGCACAACCAACTAACCTAAGGACTTCTTCTCTAGCCAGCTATCTAATCTCGAAACATTCTTCTCTGCCATACAGACGACTCTCTCTGCCTACCCGTCCGATCTCTGGACGGTCCTCTCCGCTCACCCATCTAATATTAGGACATTGTCATACATATCTAATCACCGGATGTTCCTACTTACCCACCGATATAATTTTAGGGCGTTCCTCTTTGACCTCCGATATAATCTTGGGATTTTTCCTTTCTGCCTATCTGTCTCTTACTCGTTGCCAACGTATTTAATATCGGAATATTTCTATCAGCCCATTGTTTAATGTCGGGACGTTCAGCCCGCTATCTAATATCAGGACGTTTCTGTCCGCGTACCTATTTAATATAGCAATGACTATTCCATCATTCTACATTATGGTTATTATTATTATCAACATCATTATAATAATGACTTATTATGACTTATTATTATTTTGATCATTATCATCATAATCTTTATTATTATAATGGTCATCAGTATCTGAATCTTATATAGGGAAACAAAGGATAAATTGTCGTCTAAATGATGCAAAAATGAAAATAACACTCACATCTTATTTTAACAGATATATTTACCAAAATTACACAAAATTATCTTGAAATACTAAAGAGTAATTTTATTCAATAAACGAAAGTCCTCTGGGCGGTTTCTTTGTTTAAGTTGGTAAATGCTGCCATAATCCTTGACTTCAGTTCATCTTTGGTGTTACAAAGAGTTTTTTTTTTTTTTGGTCTTTCACTCAAATGCACCGCACACATAATAATCAAAGGGGTCTGAGGAGTTAGGTGGTCAGATGTAAGCGGTGATATGGTCGCAGAAATTGTCGGACAGCCATGACTGGGTTCTCCTGTTTGTGTAGCATAGTGCAGTGTTCTGTTGCCAAACATTGGGTCTTCCAGCAGCCACCCTCTTGATCCAGGGAAGCATTACCTTCTCAAGTCACTTGATATAGTCCTCTTTGTTGAATATGAGACCCTGTGGAAAGATGAACGGATGCATAACGTCGCCATCATTAGTGAATACCCCTAACACCTCCGTAATCAGCATTAGATTCATCCAACTCTTTCAAAAATCTCTGCACTATCGTCAAATTGACACTCAAACACTCTGAAATGTTCGTATTGGAGCTTCCAGTGTGAATGCCAAGCAGTACAACATACCGTTTGCCAAATTTATGGCGGCGTGAATTGTGTCATGTAGTCTTTTTCTCACAGAGAGTGTACAACTGATCTTACTATACTGTGCAGTCAACAAAATCATAAACAAACAACACGCATGCGCGAAATAAAAAATATAAAATGGCTACAATTTACCCATCTCACCCTATATATATATATATATATATATATATATCAAAATGGCTAAAGTATCCTAAAGCGGTTGTGACAATGAAAAGTATGGTAAATTTCTCTATTCACTTCTTACTGCAAAACGGAAAACGTAAGTACACTAAAAAACTAAAAAGTAAATGACCTCTTCCTTGTCTACCATATTTAATGAAAAATGTTTAAAAGAATGGTTACTGTCTAAATATACATTAATGTAGAAAGTTCTAATGAACGAAACGCGTCACAAGAAGACTTTTCCTCTTTTGTCATACATTTTTCGCATTAATATATATATATATATATATATATATATATATATATATATATATATATATATATATAAAGAACAGTAAGATATATAATCCGGTGTTCTTATAGATATTTTTTATTTTTTACAAAATAGTGCTCAATGTAAATTTACAGAGCATTAATAAATTCCACTGAGATGAAATGGAACTAATGTCTTTAATTTAATTACAAAATTAAATTCGGACCTTCCATTTTTGAAACATGGTTAGAACTGTGTAGCGGAAAAACCATATTTTAAATCAATTAATTTATAATATATATATATATATATATATATATATATATATATATATATAGGAAGATCTTTATTCACAAGCAAGGGTAATAGTAATAAAAGCTTTGAGTGAATCTGTCTCACGCACCCACTGTCTCTGTGTACACACACACACACACACACACACACATATATATATGATTAATGTCACTTCGTTGACTGATTTTATCTTCAGTATCATATGTCTCTATCTCTTACTCTTTCTACATATATATATATATACAGAGAGAGAGAGAGAGTGTGTGTGTGAGAGAGAGAGAGGGTGGGGGGCTACTACATGATGATTGGTTAAAAACGCATGATATTTTTATTTGTAGTCAGTCACTCTTCACCAGGAATTTATATACATATATATATATATGTGTGTGTGTGTGTGTGTGTGTGTGCGTGTGTGTAATCTGTGGCCGAACGGTGGAAAGCAAACCGGATCAAACGGTGGTGATTTCTCTAAAAGAGGGAGACGGAGATTTAAACAGTGCAAGAGAGCAATTTTCTTTATTAAGTTTCCTCGAGTGCACAGGCCGGGAGACTTAATATACACTGTTTAAAGTTAAAATAAACAACGGATCATCTATTCCAAACACCGCTATTCAAAAATAACCTCTGAAGCAATACGCACGCACACACACACCCACCCACACACACACATATATATATATATATATATATATATATATATATAGAGAGAGAGAGAGAGAGAGAGAGAGTGATAGTGGTAGATTATCTATTTACAGTGTAACCCGGATATAAGAGAGTTGTCGGAGCCGCAGAAGAAGTCTCTTATATACGGGTTTCTCTTACATTCGGGTTTGGTCTATTTTGTTTAGGTAAGTATGGGGAACACTTTGGGACCAGAGAAAATCTCTCTTATATCAGGGTCTTATATCCGGGGTTATACTGTATATAAATGTGACTAATCTTTTCTCTCTTTTCTAATATATATATATATATATATATATATATATATATATATATATATTTAATGAAGCTTCATGTTTGTGATATTTTATTAAATTATCACCGAGTAAAAACCTGATGTACTGGATTAATATTCACCCACTATATATATATATATATATATATATATATATATATATATATATATATATATATATATATATTAAAGAAGTTATGATTTTTTTAAATTTATTAATCTGACAGATTTTATCATTTTATCCACTAAGAATAACATTTAAAGTGATAAAAATGCGTGTGTGTGTGTCCTGACTTTTTATCAAATTTTCATCGTACAGAATTTGATCTATTTTAATGTTCATTACTGAATCACTAAATGAAGTGCATTGACAAGGCAGAAAACTATTTTGAACAATGAACATTTCTCATGTGAACAAAAGTCTGTGTAAGCGTCAGGAAAAGGGAGTAAGCGTTTATAAACGAAATCCGGGTACTCAATAAAAATGTTACTTTTGGCTTTCATAGATCTATCTGTAAATTGCCAACTAGCCATCCATGCAAACATTTATACACATATAATAAACCAACATCTATCTCAGCGTAATGAATGGGTGTTGGCTATGGTGGTTTTAACTTTTCGTTCTCAGTGGTCAACTCCCATCGGATGCGAGACACGCCCTGTTATATAAGCAAACTTTCCGGATTGGTTTATTTAAATTATGGTTTAAATCTAAGCGGAGAATTATGTTAAAATGGTTGAACATTTGACGTGATTTAACCAAATGGTTTTCAATACCATTTCACACACCATCGGCGTCTTCAGTGCTTTTGTCTTTCTCTCTTTTTCTCTTATGTTCGCTTTGTCTCTCTGTATTTCTCTTTTATCTGTTTTTCTCGCCATTTTTCTTTTATTTACTTTCTCACGTTCTTTCTTTATCTCTCATTTTATCGTTTCTTTTACTCCTTCTTTCTCCTTTTCTCTTTCATGACTTTTAACACAGCCTTTCTCTTTTTTACTCTTTCTCCTTTTCTCTTTAATCGCTTTTATTTTTCCTTTTCTCGTTTCTTTACTCTCTCTTTCTCTTCTTTCATTATTTTTATCTCTCCTTTACTTTCTCTTTATTTTACCCTCTCTTTCCTTTACTCTCTCTTTCTCCTTTTCGCTTTTATCGCTTTTCTCTCCTTTTTTCTTTCCTTTACTTTCTCTTTTCTTTACTCTCTCTTTCTCCTTTTCCCTTTTATCGCTTTTGTCTCTCCTTTTCTCTTTCTTTTACTCTCTCTTTCCTTTATTCTCTCTTTCCTTTACTCTCTCTTTCTCCTTTTCCATTTTATCGCTTTTGTATCTCCTTTTCTCTTTCCTTTATTCTCTCTATCATTTACTCTTTCTCTCTCTCCTTTTCCCTTTTACCGCTTTTGTCTCTCCATTTCTCTTTCCTTTACACTCTCTTTCCTTTACTTTCTCTTTCCTTTATTCTCTCTTTCCTTTACTCTCTCTTTCTCCTTTTCCCTTTTATCGCTTTTGTCTCTCCTTTTCACTTTCCTTTACCCTCTCTTTCTTCTTTTCCCTTTTATCGCCTTGGTCTCTCCTTTTCTCTTTCCTTTACTCTCTCTTTCCTTTACCCTCTCTTTCTCCTTTTCCCTTTTATCGCTTTTGTCTCTCCTTTTCTCTTTCCTTTACTCTCTCTTTCCTTTACTCTCCCTTTCTCCTTTTCCCTTTTATCGCTTTGGTCTCTCCTTTTCTCTTTCCTTTACTCTCACTTTCCTTTACCCTCACTTTCCTTTACTCTCTCTCTCTCCTTTTCCCTTTTATCTCTCCTTTTCACTTTCCTTTACTCTCCCTTTTCTTTACTCTCCCTTTCTCCGTTTCCCTTTTATCGCTTTTGTCTCTCCCTTTTCTCTTTCCTTTACTCTCCCTTTCCTTTACTCTCTCTTTCTCCTTTTCCCTTTTATCGCTTTTGTCTCTCCTTTTCTCTTTCCTTTACTCTCTCTTTCCTTTACTCTCTCTTTCTCCTTTTCCCTTTTATCGCTTTTGTCTCTCCTTTTGTCTTTCCTTCACTCTTTTTTTCTTTTACTCTCCCTCTCTTCTTTTCCCTTTTATCGCTTTTCTCTCCTTTTCTCTTTCCTTTACTCTCACTTACCTTTAACTCTCTTTGTCCTTATCCCTTTTATCGCTTTTCTCAGTCCCTTTCTCTTTCCTTTACTCTAACTTTCCTTTACTCTCTTTTTCTCCTTATCCCTTTTATCGCTTTTGTCTCTCCTTTTCTCTTTCCTTTACTCTCTCTTTCTCCTTTTCCCTTTTATCGCTTTTGTCTCTCCTTTTCTCTTTCCTTTACTCTTTCTTTCCTTTACTCTCTCTTTCTCCTTTTCCCTTTTATCGCTTTTGTCTCTCCTTTTCTTTTTCCTTTACTCTCTCTTTCCTTTACTCTCTCTTTCTCCTTTTCCCTTTTATCGCTTTTGTCTCTCCTTTTCTCTTTCCTTTACTCTTTCTTTCCTTTACTCTTTCTTTCTCCTCTTCTCTTGCTTTCTTATGTTCCTTTTCTCTTTTCTCTCTCTTTTATCCTTTTCTTTTTTCTTAACAGTTTTTCTCGTTTCGCTTTTCTCTTTTCCTCGATCCCTTTTTCCTTTTCATTATCTCTTGTTTCTTATCTCTTTCTCTCTTTCTTTTTCTCCTTTTCTCTTTCTCCTTTTCTTTTTTATCCATTTTTTTCTCTTACACCTTTGCTCTTTCTCTATGTTTATTTCTTTCTCCCTTTTCTCTATCTCTATTTCTCGTTGTTTTACCACTTTTTATCTCTCTCCTTTTCATTCTTACTCTTTCTTTTTTTTGACTTTTTCTCTTCCTTTACTCTCTCTTTCTCCTTTCCTTTTTCCTTTACTCTTTCTCTCACCTTCTATTCTTCTTTCCTTTTCTCTATTCTTTTCTCTTTTTTATCTGCCTCCTTTTCATTTTCTTTCTCACTTTCTCCTTTTCTCTCCCTCTTTCTCCCTTTCTCTCCCTCTTTCTCTTTTTATCTTTCTTAGTTTCTGTTTCTCACTTTCTCTTTTACCTTTTTTCTATCTATCTTCCTCTTCAATCAATTAAGGGCTGCATATAGTTTTATATTTTCATTCAATTGATGTATTTCGTTAACACGTTTATGACAAGAGTGAAATACATAAGGTATGACAGGCATCTCATATACCACTTGAATGGGACGTCAACGAGAAGTTTCTATTCAAATCACACAGGCTATTTTTGGATAGTTGTTCAAACAAAATGTGCGCTTAAGTGAGGGGTAATGGCTAACGAGTCTAGTCTGGTTGACCGTTACCATCGGACAATGTGTACGTGCCTCACAAGGTACCTCATATAAAATTTAGATATTAAATAGCCCTACAAGGGTTGACATGCTTTAAAAAAGAAACACTTCGACGTGATGTAATGGTTAACAAGCTTGTCCCACTAGATCAATTACGACTGAGTGGAGTAATGGATAGTGGCTCGGATTCAGGAATCGGAGAGCCGAGTTCGAATTCTATTCACTTACGTGCTGTTACCCTTGTGAAATATAAGAATCCTCTTCTACGTCCAGCTATTGGAAAATAGCAGGGCAGACCGACTTTTATAGTCTTGGATGGCAACTGGTCCACCGTAGAAAGAAATGGCAACCTACTGTGAGAAAAATATCTGCCTTGTCAGGCATGTATCGAAAGATACATGATCGCCTAAGCGTGTATCACGCATGCCATATAACTGACTGATGGCGAGTTCGATCCTCCATAGGCGCTCCACACATACAGCCATGAGTCACATTTAAGCTACCATTTGAAAATCATTTTGGGCATTTTGACGTGATGTAATGGTAAACAAGCTTGTCTCGTTGAATCTATTACGACTGGATAGTGAGTTCTCATATGCTGCCCCATACTTTGGGCCTTATTCCACATTTAAGCTACGCTTATTAGATGACTTTGTATACATACACGCACACACACAGAGACACAGACGCACACAGACACACAGACGCACACAGACACAGACAGACACACACACACACGCACACACACATATTATATATATATATATATATATATATATATATATATATATATATCCACCACCCATTCATTTACGCACAGATTGGTTTACTATATAGACAACTCATTTTAATTTTAAACAGCGCTTTTCTTTAAAAGGGAAAATAGTGCATTGCTTAACAGTAATCATGACTTCTCGAATACGAAGGTCGACAAACGTAAAACACACTGCTTAAGATAAAAGTGGGGCATCTATTTCAAATATGAGTACCCACTATAATTATGTTTGAAGTAATAAAAATGCAGGATTAAAAATAAATCCATTAACTCTTCAGAAATATATACTTATTTAAAAATATGCTTCCATCGCTACACATAAATTACCATGTTTCAATATATATATTTATTTTTTACAAAACAGTGCTCAGTGCAAATGTACATTGCATAAATATTATAAATTTACTTATTTAAAAATATGGTTCCATCGCTACACAGGAATTACCATGTTCCAAAAACAGAAGCTAAAAACTTCAAATTCAATTATAGAATTAAATTAAAGTCCCTAGTTCTGTTTAATTTTCAAACGAATTTTGGAACAACTTATTTTGAAATTAATTGAGTTTTATAAGCACATACATTCATAATATTAGTTTCTATGGATATGGGGAAATCCAATCATTTTAATAAGGGGCGGTAGGCTATTCTTTGAAACATGGTAATTCATGTGTAGTGATGGAAGCATATTTTTAAATAAGTATATATATATACATACACACACACACACACACACACACACACACACACATATATATATATATATATATATATATATATATATATATATATATATATAGGATTAATATGAGTAAAGTTTTGTCACTTAGCTGATTGATGTTACCCTCAGCAACCGCTCGCCAGTGTTGTGTCCTCACTTCAGGGGTTATCAGCAATTTACTGCTTATATTTTCGATGTTTCCTTTTTATACACTTATCATTGGTGTAAGTTTTTCCGTATGTTTTGAGTTCGTGTGTGCGTTTGTGCGCGTGCAGTCATGCGCCCGTCTCTGCGGATGTATAGGTTGTCGTCATGACTTACGCTTTTCTTTTTTTTTTCTTTTTCACTTTACACTTGGTATTAGTTTTGTCTCTTTTTTCCCTTTTTTCTTCTTTTCTTTCGACAGTTGCCATTTGTGGCATGTTGTTCTAATCTCTGGACATGCCAGCAATTTTAATGTTTGGGCGTATTATTTTTTTTCTGGGCAAATTGTATATAGTTTTTTACATAATTAATATTAATGTTTAAAGATAAATATTATATATATATATATGTACGGCAGAGTAAACAAACAGTAAAATATTTAAGATCGTACGCATTAAAAGTGCTCAATGTCAAGTTGGAAGACCAGACTTGCAGAGCTGTTTAATATTTTTTTTTAAATTCATTGATTTGCTGAACAAACCACCTGAGGAGACCTTATGTCATCTTCCGCTTTAAATTTAGACACCACAACCTTACCCTGATTTGACATCTGTGAATGTAACTGAGATATTGATACAAATTATTAACACCTTACGCCCCTTTTTCTTTAAACAATTGCTCTAGCCGTTACCATAGAAATTTTGATTTCAATAATGAATATGCTTATAAAACGCGTAAATTTCCGAAATAAGTTATTCCAAAAAAAATTTCGCTTGAAGATGGAACAGTGCTTAGTACTTTAATTCAATTTAATTCAAATAATTATACTGAAGTTTTCGGCTTTTGTTTTGAAACATGAGAACTCTTATGTAGCGTTGGAATCATATTTTTAAATAAATAATTATATTTATGCTCTACTTTTGTATCGAGCACTATTTTTAAAAATAATAACAAAAATACTAAAGAACTTTGGACTATTTACCTAACGAGTTCTTTCCTATTTTCTATATATTTTTCACACACACACACACACACACACATATACATATATATATATATATATATATATATATATATATATATATATATATATATATGCGCACACATACACATATATTTATATATTTATACTTATGTATCTTCATTAGGCTATTATTTTTTTTTTATTTTGTTTGGTGGTATCATAGGTATTATGCAGTTGGATCGTGTAGTTTCACATTAGTATTTTTGGGTGGCAAAGGAAATCCAATCAACTCAAGTATTGGTCGCTATGAACAGACTCATACATTAGAGTTCAAAAATTTGTAATTTTTTGAATTGGCACAAAAAGTATTTATTTCTTACTTTAAATTAACGTAAATTATTATACGTGGTTAAAAAAAGTCGGAATTGATTTTTTTATTAGAAATTTTATTATGACAAAAAGAAAAAAGCATTTTATGATTAAATTTTGCTCTCGTCAAAATATCCTCCTTTAGCCTTGATTATTGCAGCACAAATTTTTGGCATTCGTTGCGAAAGTTTCTCAAAGTATGGATGAGTTTGATAATTGATTCCATTCTTTTTTCAATGACTCGAAGTCTCCTTTTTTTTCCTCTTGTGTCAAGTTCATCCGATGCTAATTCTCGGCTACCTTCAAATCTTTGAACTCTAGTATATATATATATATATATATATATATATATATATATATATATATATATATAGTTAAGTTATGAAAAACTTGGTAATCCGTATGGGTAGTTCCAAGGAGGATGAAATCTTGAGAGCTCAATGTAAATCCAGAGCTAATATTTTTAAAGAAAAACAGACCACTTTAAGGTTCCATTATAATAAATTATTTCACCAGAGTCCATTTAAAGGACGCCGGATCATCAGATAAAACTTCCAAAAGATGAAACGATAAAATGAAATGAAAATTGATGGGTGGTGTAATATATATATATATATATATATATATATATATATATATATATATATATATATATATATATTAATGCATGTTTCGTTAAATAATATAGACAAGTTTTGGCTATTTATTTTAAGCAAACTTCTTTCATTTCGTATATTCATATCATATAAGCTTAATAACATTATCATTGAAAGACGAAAGAAAATCACAATAAGTTTATCAGACGATATGAAAGGAATTTACTTAAAATAAATAGATAAAACTTGTCTATATTATTTAATGAAACATGTATTAATGAAAAATGTTGTTTAAATACACACACACAACATATATATATATATATATATATATATATATA